CGAGCTCGGCTCTTCTCTTCCAGCCCTCTCCCTTCGCTCGCTTCCCCGGCTGAAATGAAATCATAAATCTCAGCCCACAAAGGTCCTTTGTCACCACGCGCGGCTCCCGGCGACAAGAGGTCATTCATGAAGAGCCAGATGAAGGCCAGAGAGGCTCCCACTGGTTTTGTGAGGAGCTCAGGATCAGGTTGTGGCTCCTCTGCTGACGTCCAGGCACCAGTTTCCATGCCAGGAGCAGAGAGGGTGAACCTGGAGGAGCAGAGAGGATGAACCTGGAGGAGCAGGGAGGATGAACCTGGAGGAGCAGGGAGGATGAACCTGGAGGAGCAGGGAGGATGAACCTGGAGGAGCAGGGAGGATGAACCTGGAGGAGCAGAGAGGATGAACCTGGAGGAACAGGGAGGATGAACCTGGAGGAGCAGGGAGGGTGAACCTGGAGGAGCAGGGAGGATGAACCTGGAGGAGCAGGGAGGATGAACCTGGAGGAGCAGGGAGGATGAACCTGGAGGAGCAGAGAGGATGAACCTGGAGGAGCAGGGAGGATGAACCTGGAGGAGCAGGGAGGATGAACCTGGAGGAGCAGAGAGGATGAACCTGGAGGAGCAGGGAGGATGAACCTCATGTCACCGTGGAGAGGTTGGGATGGTGGGGCTGGAGATTCGTGCCCCAAAATGTCCAAACCCCTGGGCTGCCCCAGCCTGCCCACCCTGCTCAGCTGCCCTTCCCTCTTCCTTCTCACAGAATCCTCGGGGTTGGGAGGGACCTGGAAGGATCATCTAGTCCAACCCCCCCTTTGGGTTCCTGAAGACACAGCAGGAGAAACGCACCAAGGATCATTTTTTCCTACTGGTTTGATCCCAAGGGGAAGAGCTGCCCTCTTGGCAGCTTCTCCAGCCACTTTCCTTCTTCTCCCCCCACCTCCTGCCCCCTTTTTTATTTCATTTTTAATGACTCTTCACGAGGACCATCGTGCTCTAACCGGTTCTGGATTAAAAGGGACTTAATCAAGGCTTCCCCTGAGCACCAAAACTGCACCAATGGGTTTGCAATTCTGGAGTTAATTAGGCAGGAGCCGGGCAGGGAGATTTGTGTTTTGCAAAGGACGAGGCAGGGAGGGGAAGGTTTATGATTGCAGGGCTGCTCCTCAGCTCAGCCAGGTGCTGGGGCAGATTCCTGTGCTTTTTACCCCAAAAGACGGAGGCGTGGGGGTCACTGTCGAGTGGCAAAACCAAAGACCTGGGTCCCCTGGTGGGGTTGGCAGGTGCTGCCCAGTCCTAGGGGTGCTGGGAGGAGGCGAAGGGGCTAAAAGACCAAAGGGAGGGAAGTGGAGGAGGAGCTGGAGGAGAATTTCTGCTGCCTGAAGATGTGAAGTGTTTCCGCCAGTAATCGCCGGAATCATCAAATTAGCATAAATTCTATTAACGGTTTCCCAGATGAGACATTTCAAGGCTTCTCCCCCTTCCCCGGCACAAACAAAAGAGAATGTAATTACTTTGCCATAAAGCAGCTCCTGAAAAGGCCCTGGATCCTTATGCCTTTTTTTTTCCCCCCCCTCCTCCCTTGAAATGAAGCTCGATAGGAAAAGGGGTTTCTGACCTCCCTGCTCTCATCGTGGCTCAGGCAGGGAGGAGGAAAGAAATTCACCCTACAAAGCTTTTTAGGGTGGGCAACGTGGTTGTTCTGGTTCCACGAGCAGGTGGGGAGGGTTCAGAAAAGGTTCCTTGGAGATGTTCAGCTCCTGCCATCCCTTGAGCTTCAGAGGAGGGTTTGGCAGCCCAACATTCTGAACAGATATGGAAGAAACCTCATCTGTGTAGCACTGAAACCCAGGGCTTGAGGCTGTAACTCACTACAAGCACCACGGGGGCAATAATCTAAAATAATGGGTCTTTTTATTGGCACAAGATTGCGGATGACAATTTAAAAGAGAAGAGAATTTGCTTATGAGCAAAAGCCTCCTTAACTCTTAAGAATGACACTAAAAACAACTTGCCTGCCTATAAATACGATCTGCCAATAGAGACATCTTAGCTGGGAAGATTTAATTACAGGCAGGAGCTGCAGGAGGCCCCGGGGCTGACACTGAACCAGCTGAGCCTCCTCAGAAATGGGTGTGCAAAAAGTGCTGGGATGGGATGTGTGTGCACAAGAGGCTCTCAGCAGAGCCAGGTGTAACTCTCTGCCTTTCCAGACTGGAGCAAATAAGGATTTTTTGGATGATTTTCTGTGCCACGAGGTCAAACATCAAGGTCAGTTCCTTTCTTTTGCTCCAGACAACGAGTCATGTCTCCTCTGGGCCTCAGTTCCCCTTTAAAATGTGGATAATTTTGACAATCCTTCCTCAAAGAAGCCACATCCACGTTTACTTTTCCGAGGACCTTGAGGCTTTTTACTGTCTACTATGAATTAATTGTTATTAATTAAGTTAAAGCAGACTATATAACCTAAATAAAGCAGTCCTGACAAAGCAGCTGGATGTTAAGGAGCAATCTGCTTTGCCAACTCCCTTTTCCATTTAGCAATGTTAAGCACTTAGTTCTGCTTCCTAATTGCTAATACCCATTCCTCAATTCCCCACTGGTTTTGCTTCAGATTTGAAAGATGAAAACACATTCTTGCTTTGATGATGATGCCATTTTGCTTCTTGTTGGGTTTTGCTTTGTGTTTTAGGGGCTTGTGGATTAAAACGCCTTGGGAAGGGAAGGCTTGGGATGGGGATGGAGCCACAGCTCTTTACTCAGATCAACCTCTGGAGAGGAAAAATCAGCCGAGGCAGCATTTCTGAAGCCAGAACACGAAAGACACGGCTCTGACACGATGCTCTGTGGGTGCATCCAGCACCTTGCCAGCGCCTTCTGGTGCTCAGCAGAGCCAGCGCGGGGGAGCCTGGGCCCCACCCACGCCGTGGGCTTAAAACCGCAACCGGGGCTCAGCCTGAGGTTAGATTTTTCACCCCAAAACAGCCCCTTTTGTGCCCTTTTTGTGCCCTCAGAGAAACAGCAGCGCTGGGGTTCAAGGGGCCTGGGCCCTGTCGGCGTCCCCGGCCCGCCCTGTTGCTACGCAACGCGCAGCGACCAGCAGTAAAGATGGCGCCTGGGCCACTTCAGCTCTGGGCCACCCGGGCCTCCGTCCGCGGGGAGGGAAAGCAGAGCGGCCCCGCCCTTAGCAGACATGGCGCCGGCTCGGCTTCAGGAGCCGGGGGAGCGCAGCCAATGAGAGGCCGGCAGAGCGGGGAAGCGGACTATGATTGGCTGGCGGCGGGGGGTGAAAACGGGGGGCGGGGGGGGCGG